CCCCAAAACCCCAAAACCCCAAAACCCCGAAATAAGTCATTACTTTGTTTTATTAAGGAAATAAAAATTTCGTATAAATAAATTAAGCATAATCTCAATTTTTGAATAAGAATCTAGTAAATATAGAGGCAATCATCACTAACTAAATATATCGTTCTTGAATTCGTTGAATTTCTTAAGTATTTTGATGTAATTTTTCTAAAACATTTGTATTAGAGTTAAAGATTCAAAGTAATGAATATACTTACATCTTCTATTTCTTTAGCAAATTTGAGATTATGAATCGGACTTAAATGCTTGAGGAATAACAAATAATGAGGACCCTCACTTTTACTCAGTTCGATTTTCTTAAACAAGTCCTTCATTCTAAATTCAAATGGCTGCTTAGGCCCAGTATCCATTCTTCTTTTCCAAGCTTTGCTCTATAAATTGCATTTAGAATGATTAATGCCATACCTCTCTAATTTATTGAAAATAGTCGATGTATTGCCCCTTCTTCTAACTATAAATTTTATTTTAATTAAGTTTAGATTAAGCTCTGATAGTCTGAAAGGTTTCAAGCACGTTAACATTCTGATTTTTCTTTTTCTCTTTATTTAGATCTTCTGTGCTTTAAGTTCTCTTATGGCCTTTCTATATAATAATTTAGACTTAAAACAAATACCTAAGGACTGTTTTTCAAAGATTCTGATAGCGGATTTCTATGAGTCATATATCCACTCTAAGTTTTAGCTAATGCCTAATTTTATTACAGGTTTCTAGCAGTTTATGGCTATTTTGCAGTATTATGTCTAACATTCTCCTCTTTTAAATTATTATCATTTGAAATGTCTTAAACCACATCGTCCTCGGTATCTTCATCATTCAAAAAATGAGGTAAAAGTTGAACGTTTTTACCTTTGGAATTAACATCTTTTGGTGATGGAAGTTCCTTATCGGTCTTTTCAAAGATACTGGTTCCTTGTCTTATGTATATCTTTGGATGTGAAAATAAGGCATGGTTTTACATCCTTTATTTTATGTTTTACTGAGCTTTGATCATAAGGGATTGTGGGTTATTCTAAACCATATCTTGAAATTAATCATCTTATTAAGTCGTTTGATATAACTTAGCAGGTTCACTAACTTTCTTAAGTAGCATCGGAACTAAACCCTTATTTTAGATAATCATATCCAAGTCATCATTTATCCTTTGCATAAAAATCAATGATTATTCTCTGATTTCTCTGCCAAGTCTGTAGTCTTTAGCCTCTCTTGTTATTATAACTTCCTTCCCTGTGTTTTGATCTATTTCTACTGTTTATTCATACTTTTTATACCTTTCCTCTTTTGCTAGCTCCTTCTTTTTGTATTATTCTTCGCTAAGTCTTCTTAGATTAGATTTCTTAGACTCAAATTTCCCTCTGACCATTCGTTCATGATAGTATTTGGCATTATCTAATTAACCCAGATAATAGTATTGCATCCCAAGATAATCATAAGCTTGCATCTCATACTCGACATTATTTTCTTTCCAAGCATATTATAGCAAAGATTTGAAACATACTATAGCTCTGTCGTATTCTTACACCTTCTAAAAACATAATCCAAGCTATTTGTACGCAAACATCACATATGTAAAGTCTTAATCTTCATCAGCTACATCTCTCAGTTTTTCAAAGCAAGAAACAGCGAATTTCATCTTGTTAAAAAAGATATACAGAAACCCTAGCATTTTAAGTGAACTCTTTAAGAGATAAACATCTGGGATAATTAAGGATGCTCTTATTACCATGTTTAATGCATCGACACTTCCTTTTTTGTATTTGTTCTTGAAGCTCTTAACTGCAGCCTATCTAAAGATCTCAATTGCCTCTAAGTACTCTTCCTTCTATTCATCCTTTTTGGATACTACAACCTGAAGATTGTTTTTGTTAAATTTATGATTCAAAAAAGTATTCTTGTATTTCTCTCCCTAAGCTTGCATTATAGATATAGTTTATCTCATTTCTACGTTGTTTTTAGTTGTATTCATATTTGGATTAACATTAAAACTATTTCCTTGGTTATTTACTCTTTGAGTCATATTTGTTTGCACATTTTTACTGTTTATCATTATCTTTTTTAGACTATGTATTTGGTGATCATTATTACTAAGGAATTTAGCTTTCAGATCAAGAATACTGTTTTTCAGACTCCCATTTTGTTTAGTCATGATAAGTCGCATTGATTATTGACGAGCAGTGAGAATTGCTTGTTGAAATTGTTCACGATTCAATGATTTCTTTGGGGGCTATTGCTGATACTGTTGTTGTAATTAAGAGTCTTATTTCATGATTTATAATTTATCTCTAGAATTAAATTACATAAAATTAGCAAAGAGACTTAATAATAATTATAATCAGAGTGATTTTGATCATCGAGATTTATGCTGTTGATTGGTCTGATGGGGTTTTGGGGTTTTGGGG